AGAGGAAATAAACGCGAATGGTAATCCGCGTATTCGACAAAAAAATTTTTGTATACCTACGTTCCGATAAAAAAAAATTGAAACAGTCGACGCACGGGCGAAATAATATTTATTGACCGTTGTTCGGGCGGCATGGAGCATAAATTAAATAAGGGATTAGCATAGCCTGAAGCAGCTAAATCACGTGTTATTGTTTCATACGTTCGCAAATGTAAATCGGACGCCCCCCTGGGGGTATTCATTGTTTATTCGTCAATTATTGCAACAAATCGGACAAATAAACGCGAATTACCGTTCCCGCGTGCGTTTCCCGGCAAACGAATGGACTGCAATCAGGGGTCGCGCCCGCTCGCCGGTAGATTTAGAAGAAGATTGATGAGTCGATTACCATTTAATCGATTTAAATACTTTTGTAAACCATTCATAAGGGTCTCTTGAAACACTACCTATTGTCATTGCAAAACAAATATCAATGCACGATCGGTACTATTAATTTTCAAATTCTTCCTCTTTTTTTCTAGTTAATACACTCTCCTCTCTACCATAGTTTGTAGAAATTAAATTTATTCTACTATAATACATTGTAATATCCCTCGTTAAAATTTGCCCGGGTCCGATGCGGTGTTGAAAAGACTTGTATTGGGTAAAGTAAGTTTCCCTTATGCGGCCGAAAATCGTTGATAACGCAGGTCTGGAAAGGCGGAAGTAACAATTTCCATGGTACAAATTAAATTGTAATTGGCTATAAATTCCCGGACAATTGTACCTGGAAATTTCGTAATAACGCGCGCGCCTCGGATTGTTCGGCAAGAATAGCAGGAAGCGAATCCTGCTCGGGGAATTAATTCGTTAATAAATGACGGATCCGGAATTGTACGGGACCTTATTGATGGCGCCTCGACGTTAAAGCCGGATTTTTAAACGGTAATTACCTAATAAATTTCGTTAATTAAATCGCGTTAACGAGGGATTTTGTTTCCCATTTTTTCCGATTGCTGCGTCACGATATCGTGAAGTGTGATTGATTTCCCGCGTACGTGCTAACCGGCTTCGTCCTTTTTGTATCCTTATTGCTCCATTTTTCATATCTGGCTTTTCGGCTAAGGCGTTGCATCTCCAGAAATTTCGGAATCTTCTACTCCCTCGGGGGTGCCGATTTAATGGCTTTTCTCGGTTAAAAGAATGCACAAAGTGGACCGGGAGTAGGTATAAAATGATTTTTTTTTGTAGACATAAAAATAAAATTCGATGAAGCGATGCATCAAAACGTTGATCTAATTGCAGGTAGTATATTTTTGCGGGTGTAATTTATGGAGGTGTAAAATTAAAGTTGGAAAATCTTGGGGGTAACGAAGCGATTAATCACGGGCTGCAATGCGGGGGAAAAGCTCTATCTTACAAGTTAAATATACAGTCGATTTATCTGTTTAAAAAGCCGAGTTCCGAACATAATCAACAATATCATAAATCCACTTAGCTCCGGTAATATTGTCGCAATTCGTTTATTAATCGCCCGGCTATCGGGGAATTTATGGCGGTTTTCCAATTATTTCCTACGGCTTCATTGTCGGGCGAAAAGGACCTTCCGCGGCGAATGCATTCGCCCGCAACAACCGATTTATGGCCGGCCGGCTGAGTGAAGTTCCACCGAGAAAACAATCTTGTATCGGACTATAAAATAAAATGTATTGCGCCACCGCCGGTCCGCTTTATTGCTAATATGCTTCGCTTTTTTACCCGCAGCTGATGCATTAGCTTCTTATATCGATGGGAATAAATGTTTGTATACATGAAGATAGGGGTGTAGTTTTTTTCGATCAATTTTCGAGAGTTTATGCTTTCGCGTATAGCACACCTTGGGGGTTATTTGAAAAGGTCAGTTTGCGAAACGCATATAAGAGGTCAGAGAGAAACCGGCCGTCCTTTATTAGCCGTTTATCCTTCGGTGTAAATTTCGCGCCGGGCTCGCTTTGTTTTTAACGCGGCGGCCGCCCTTTCGAAAAAGGTCGAGAGGGTGTGTTTTATCCGTCATTTACAGCCGGCGCGGGGGTTTCGAATCCTGTCGAGGTGTCGCCGGCTTCGGATTATCGCAAAGATTAATGTTAAGCTCGCCTATTTAAACGGTACATGCATCATAAAAAAATTCAACCGATCGATTGATGTAGTATAATACTCGAAGAAGTTATCGCAATATAGCGATGTTGATTAATCGAATAAAATTAACGTTCTGGATGGTGTATTAGCGGAGGGCGTAATTCGGTTCGGCGTACAATAATTTGCGTCCGGAATTTTATTTTCCCGCGGCCGGTAATTTCGTCGGTATAGCAGGAAATTTACGGTTTATATAGGTAATAAAGCGTTTTAATTGTCATTTATTTTAACGCTCTCCGCACACGTATCGATGATATAATGAGGGAAATTCGCTGATGTATCGCAACAACATAACCAATGAATCGACGGTTCGCGCTCAGTTTGCACATTGTATATGCGCCCGGCGGTACGTACATAAAAATATTAATTACACGGCCGTCGGTCGTGTATACAGAGCCGTTTGTTAGCTTGTAAAGTGCCTTAAAAATCTATCGTTAATAATTATTATTTTATGGGGTATGTTCATAGCAATTTATGTGTAAAATGTCTTATAAAATCTCTCGTGAATAACTATTAATTTATGAGGTGAATTTATGCAAATTATTTATAACATACAGATCTTGTTTTGGAATGTATTGAATAAGTACATGTTCCCGTATATCGCTATAGTTAATATCGAGTCGGATGGAATTACGAATTACGAAAATAGCGTAGGTTTATTACATTTTGCAAGTTTGCATATCCAAACAAACATAATTGGAATTTGCGTTTGGCTTTTTGGATTCGGAATTCATATTCGAAAAACTAATTAGTGCACATGTAAGTACTAAATTCAGCAACCTTAAATAAGGGCCGGCTGTAATGTAAATACAAATACAATCTGCTAAATAAACCGTTTTTAATTTTTTTTTCTGCACGGTATTTAATCATCTCGGATTCAGGGACTCGTGGCTGTCGAAAAAGTAAATCCCGGAATTTTGATTTGTAGCCCGCAGATATTTAACGTCAACTAGACGCAAGTAGATTCCCCCCAGTAATGGGGTAATTTTAATTTCGATCCTTTAGGATATCTTAGACTGTAGGTAAATATATGCACTTAGCCCAGCTTCAAAGAGAAACAGGATCGTATAATATATGGGGTAGATGTATATACAACTGTGTAAATAATAATAAATACGGAACAATAATTGCAACTGCAGGTACTTCGCATGAAATCTCGCAAAATTCTGCTACCGTAATATCTCGGCTTGATTTTAATATAGCTCTATTGTGATGCGAGCAAATTAAATATTGCCCGTCTTAGGGAAGTCGAAATAAAGTTCTGAATAACCCGATGGAGAAATTTCATTAAATTCGATGCGAATCGTACAGTTACTCAAACATTTCTAAGAAGCTCGAAACTTGTTAGTAATTTATTAACGGATTTTTTTCCATTCAACATATACAGGTAGCATTCTCGCTTTAAATTGAAGAAACTGAACCGTCATTAAAAAAAAAATAACCGGGCCCCGGGCCCTTTCAATTTGTCGCATTCGGCGACATCAGTCGGCGCCGTTTTCGAAACAATGAGAAGGCGTCGCGGCGCAGTAAAGTGTGTAAACCCGCGGGAGCATCTCGTTCTGTGCCCGAGCACAAGACGAATAATGGCCGCCATTCGTTCCGGAAAAGGGAATTAACTACTTTAATTAGTTCGAGACACGTTAAATTTACGCGCCCGAGCCCGGATATACCCGGCGCAATTGCCGATCGCCCGCCGCCAATAACAATCCCCGGGCCCTTTTAACCTTTTGATAATTTATTTCTTTCCTTTCCAGCGGGAGACGGAGACCTCCTTAGCAGATGGGGGGATTTATTTCGTCGCGATTTCCACCGTCGTAAAACTATTCTTACTTACTATATGAGGTGTTTGGAAAAAGCCAATTTTTACTTAATTTTAAAACCTACTCTTCTCTCCAGTCTCGACTCTCTGCACCGGTTAGAAATGGTCAAAAAAAATCAACCCTTACGCACAATTAGTATGCAAAATTAACAGGGGAAAGAAGCGCATTAGAGTTGTTTGCATAGATATTATAGTTGAAAAAATAACCGAGGCGAGTATAACGATGAAAGGGGGCGCCGAAAAAAATCGGGCTCATTAAAAGCCCGTTGTCTAAAACGAGTCGTTTTCTTGTACAACGTTAATAAAGAGTCCGCTCGAACACTAACAACGAAACTTTCGTCTCGTAATTGTAAAACTTGGTACAAATTTGCGTTGTAGGGCAGACCATTACGGCGAAATGTTTCGCACTTTCCGGGCGCGGGGTCGGGAAAGTTCCTTTCGGTTTGCTAAATAATGCAAAAGAGGGGTAACGTCTGATGTATATCGGTCCTGATGGAAAAGAATGTCTTTTTTCCGAGCGAGGAATCACAACGGAAAAACGAATTACGGTCGAACGTCTGACGTGGCCCCGTACACCTCGTTTAAATTTTTAAGCGGCCCTTCGCGTTTCCTCGTTTCACCCATCACTGCGCCCTTTTCTGACTTATTTACGGGATCATCCGTTCGCCATAAACATGTGGAAATAGCTGGCGAATACACACAATGCGCAATATCATTTATTAATCGTTCGTATTAGCGCAAGTTGCGTCTACAGTTATATGTATCGGTCTGTAGAATATTTTATACAAAAAAAACTTTTGGTGTACCTATCATACGTTGTTTTAATTTATTTGCAATAAAAAGCGTATGAATTAATTTTTGCTGTTGGATTATGTAGGATTATTATTCGGAAAATGCGAGTGTATAGGTATTTGTTGTATCATAAAACGTATATTTAATTCGTTTTTAAGGGTCTAATATATTTTATTCGAAATATGTAATTTTGTTTACAATTATTGTATATTAATATTGTTATTTTTTTGTATTGCAGCGAGATGCCCTCATTCTGGAGCCCACCAATGTTGCGAGTTGCGTTTCGAAAGGGAAATCAGAGGTGAGTTTTTTTTTGTGTTTTTATTTTATTTGTTCAGTTTTTTAATTGAAATCGTAATTTGTATTGTGGACGAAACACAATTGCCTCATGACAAAATGGAATTCGGTTTTTATACAAAAATAATCTTTCCATCGGCGAAAATGGAAAATTACTTTCCCTTTTTCATTAATTTTAATAATCGACCGAATCGTTAAGGATGCAGTTTGATGAAGAAAAAAAATTCATCTCGTCGTACTTTTTTACGTTACCTAACATCTTCTCGTGGAACATTCAGGCGAGCGAATTTTCTTAAAAGTACGGCTTTTGAATTTTTTATCAACTGAAGCCAGACGGAAACAGTTTGATGTTAGTGACCATTGAAGTGTTATTGCTCGTTGCTAGCGAGAGTGTGCAATCTCTCAGGTGAGAGAGGTAAATTTGCCTCTATTTACAGTGGCGCAACCGCCACAAATTATTTATTCGAATACTAATTTTTTACGATATTTTTTAAAGTAGATTTAAGTAGTAGTTATTGTAAGAGATACAGTGGGATTGTAGCAATATTTTTTTGTTATTGTTAATTGTAACGCTACTGAGTTTCAGATAAAATTGTCGGTAAGTGATGAAAAGCCGACGTTTTCAGTAATATATGAAGTCTAGCCTAGCTATTTCAATTTTCCACCTTTTCTCTATAACGCGGAAGAAAAACTATCTCTTTTAGGTATAAAAGAATGTGTCTGAATTGCTTGTCGTACGCCGCTTGAATATTTTACGTCATAAACAGCACACGTACGGTATAATAACGATCGTCTTAAATTATTAATTCTTGCATTTTTTTAACATATAGTTCGTTCATTTTATGTCGCTCGTTACGTCACTACTTCTACTAATATATTCCCAGCGAATGTGCGATTTCGTTCGCGTATATCGTTTAGGAAAAACTATTGTGAAGGGCGCAAAGAATGCGTCAGCAACTCGGTGTAACTTTGAATTTTTCATGTTATTGCTTGTTCGCCGGAACGTGTAGTATAGTCGAATATCCTCCATTATGTAGATGTGTCATCTTGGAGAATCACGTTTTTCAAGTGCCGTTTCCAGCGCCCGGTCGGCTGCGTCTCAATGAGAAAAAGACGTTTTCATTTAGGAGAGAGACTCATAGATTTTTATATACATTTGCATATTTATAGGAATAGCGACAGGGACGTATGTCTTCGCGAAAGGCTCCGCGGGAGTCCTTTGTTTGGAATCGCAAATGCGCCGGGTTTTATTCCTCGCACGAGGCGCTGCTTTGACGGGGTTTTCCGACTTTTCATCGCTAATATACCATACCCCGAACTATCCGCGATTACTTTTCTACCGAATTATTGCCGATTAATCGTCGCTTTTCGGTTGAAAAAATCAAATCGAGCCGAGCTAATGAGTCAAAGTGTCGATCGGGTTTTTAATAGTTAATCGAATAGAAGAAACTTTTAATTGAATAACTTGGAAATGGATATTCGGAGCCGAATTAATTGTAGAATCAAACCGTCCCGTTTTATTAACGTCTCACAAAACCAGTGGTGTTTCACCTATAATATTTTTTGCTACACAAATATTAATTTCTAAATTAATTAATTTCTTCAAATACTCATTTCACAAAAAGTATTTGTTTCTGTATAAGGATTTATTATAGGTGGTATTGGTGACGAGTTGCCGCTGGAAAAACGGAACCGAGCGACTTTCCATTTCGATATTCCCCGTCGCCGGGAAATAACTTATCTTATTAGCCGCGAAAGCGAAAGTTAAACTCGGGAATTAGAGACGGTTAATATAATTAAAATCTCAAATCTGTCGGGGCCCCGGAGTGCAGATGAGACGGGGCCGCTTTCATATTGAAGAGGGTTTTTCCCGGTCGCTCCTCTTCGGTTTTTTTTTCTTCTCTCCTATTTCTGTCTTAAACGCCTCGACAATTACATTAAAGCGAATTTCGTTCGACGGAAAACAGTCTCACTTTCCGACTGGTTTTTATTAAATTATGCCCTTTCAATTAGGCGATGTTAAGAAATGGAAATGGCGGTAATTGAGTCGAGAGCGAAAACGAGCCGGAAAAGTTCCTATTAAAACTTACAACTACAAATATTGAACATTTTAAAGCTCAAATCCGGATTTTTTATTCGGCGCAGACGAGCCTCGGTTTTATATTAAAAGGTTCGGGATTCTGCGATCGAAACTCATCACTGTCACTGAGATTGGATTAGCGAAAAAGGGCATAGACAGAAAGCAAAATACACAAAAAAAAACACCCCGAACGGGAACCGTACAAACACTTTCGCTTCCATTACAGGGGCGGATTTCGATTAATATATGGTAGATAAAAAGATGCATTCGAACAGTTTCATACTGTGCACTTTATGCAGTTTATATGCAGAGTCCTTATGTCTTTTATGAAATTCCTCTTTGCGCGTAATTAAATTAATAAAAGGAGCGCGCGAGTCGAATTCAATCCATTAGCCTCGGAATAATTCGAATAAAGTGTCGGCGGAAGAAATTGACAAATTTGCATATCAATTTCGCGCTCGCCAAATATTGTTATTTGCTAATTGAAGTTTCAATCAGTCGCTCGTCGAGAGAGGAGTCCTTCCGTTTTCGCCTCCTGCGCTCCGGCGACTCCGCCATCTCTCGACGTGAATTAAAATTAATTTTCGAGAGTCGCTCTCTCGCCGCCCTCTGACCCCATTTGTAATTCAAATTTTCGACTCTCGAGATCCGATAGAACAATGCCGGAAAAGCGACGACGACTGCGAGCCATTTCGCTGATTTTTTTTCGGCGTATTTTTCGTTTTTTACGGATCGTTTGCCGTCTAAACGTTCGGTTAACGTTAACGCATGAAAATGTAATAATTAAGTTAGGCGAAACTTATGCACATGCTCCAGTAAATTTCGTAAATTACGTTAAGGGTAAATTGATTTGAAGTTAGGAACTATAACTAGTACTAGTAATATTGTTTAATGAAGCAAATTTTCTATTAGCAAACTTATTTAATATTCAATTTTTTTAGTTAACTATCACACCCTAAAATGGTGGTGTTTTTTTCTACCTGAAGATATGATTATCTAAATGCATTCGACGTTGCTGTTATCCTATAATTTAGTGAAATATATTCCTTGGACCGTCCGCCTCGGTGCACCCTAGTTAACTACCCTTAATGTCCTATTCGCGTGATCCCTTATTCTAATACGATTTCTTATGATATTGGTTCCGATAGGTTTCGTTATTAGCCCAGGCTTGTTTGTGTTTCCAATATAGTTTTGGGAGATTTTTAGATAATACTCGTAGCATTTTTTTGTTTATCTAAAATTGATATCAACCGCACGATACGGTTAATGTTTTCTTGATTTTATAACAGGGTTGTTATTTATACCATTTGACTGAAAGCACTCCTATAATAAATCTCATAAATACGTTATAGTCGAGTTACTAGGTACATTATACTTCTAATTGAAACGATTCAAAGTAAAAAAAAAATGGGAGTAGCGACCAGGGGGTTGTGTAGCAGGGCGCCCTTTTAGGAGTTTGCGATGGTTTATTTTCAGACTGGCTGTGTGCCGGCGTTTCTCTTTCATGTTCAAGGTTTATTAACTCTCTCCTTTTCAGGCCGTAGAATCAGTCAGAAGCCGAAGCGAAACTCCCTTAATTCGTTTCGAGTTTTTATGAGACACGTAGATAGTTTTCCCCGTTCGGCTCCACAAAGGGAATTGCCAGTTTGCTCACGTAAAAGATGCTAAAATTCAGGGATCCGACAATTCCGGCTAACTTTTTTTTTTCTTCTCCGGGCGTCCCTTTCGCTCGCTCATCGGGGGTTTTTAGTTGGTTTTGTTTCGCCTCCCCGCGCGACGGGAAGTCCCGGACTCGCGACCGCTTTCCTTTCAATCCGGCCCGTTTTTACGACTGTCGAGTCGATAAAAAGATTTTCTTTATACCTTGCCGTACAACGTAATTAAACGGTTTTATCGTCGGCTCGAAAAATTCGCTTTTTTACGCTGAGATGACGTCACGGGGTGGAAATATCGAACGCACTGTACCTGTTATTTTTATAACATCAGTATACATTTCGTGCTATCGCTGGTTTTCAATCAAACAGACTCGATTTAGAGGAATTTCACAGCGCTATTTTACTCTCCTTATCGGTTATTTTTCTACTTGCTGTACGACTCTAAAATGAAATATTTCAGCGAGATAAGTCCGCGATTGCATATACGGGGGATGGTAAAATCGTACGAATTACGCGACAGCAAGAGTAATTGCGGGTTGATGAGGAGAGAGAAACGCATCGAGCGACCCTCGTAAATAACCACTTAAATTTTTTTCCGGGTTTTATTTCCCGTTTTGTAGAGATTATATTAGGCGAGCCGGTCGGCAGTCTGTGTATACCCGTCTCGGCGTTGTTGTAAATGTAAATTAAATTTTCGGTGGGGGTAGGAGTTATTTAAAAAGTATTAAATTTTTTTTCATGGGATATAGTTAAGACGGAAATTCATATAAAATTCGCCATCGAGTCGGGATTAATAAACGAAGGGAGGATCGCATTTTCTATTAGGGGATGCTTAATTTATAGCGAATATTCATTTTAAATAAATTACTAAATTTTTTCTTGTAACGTTCGATATATCACCAAATAATTTCAATTTTAAATAGATTATAAATAAGTTAATTACATATTTATACGGCTTTTGTTGTGCTGGTGTAGCATGAAAATCTCATCAATATTTCACAATTGATACCTACATTAATTTTATTTAAATATATCCAGCCCGATGGAAATTCTGTCTGCCGCAATGGCAGTTAAAAAGGACAATTACAATGTTAGTTATTTCAACAAAGCCGTAACTTTTATGCATTTTCTCTGATATTATCGACCGAACTATTGTTTAAATTAACGTTATATTATACGAAATATAATGAATGTAACATTAGTTTTGAGTACATTAATTAATCACCAATGTATGAAGAGTAAAACAATCATTTAAGCGAATTGGCTCGT